GGCTTGCCCGACCAATCCGGTTGCCGCGCGCTTTAGCCAATCGCAACGCAGGGTTTGCAAGTATGTTAATTCCTTGTACAGAACACACCCCACAGATCCCAGATGAGTGATGAACACCTCAGATCTGTTCTGAGAATTGCCACAACAGAATTACCACCAGACTTCGATGCACTGGCAAAAATGAGTGATCAACAACACTGTTCTCATTAAAAGGTATGTTAATACTTTAATGCTTTTTTCTGTTTATGTTTTATATGCACTGTTAACAAATGCAGTTTTTTATATGTATCGTATCTTGTGCTGACCCGGCCCGTCTGTCAAATTTTAAAAGTCAATGAGGCCCCCAAGCCAAAAAGTTTGCCCACCATATATCCAGTGATTATTCAAAGTTAAACAGTATGAATAAGTGGGGGTTACAGCAATTCCTCAAAGTTCAAGCCATCCCAACATCCTTGCAGTCATTGTGTAATTGTGTTCTGGGTGCTTGTCAACCAGTTCTCATGACAATTGCAGCATCCTCAGTCACTTGATCATATTTTGTGATCTTCCCTACCAGCTTCCCACAAGCAAAGTCAATGGGGAAGATGACAAGTAATGTCATATGTTGTTTGGGTAAGTATTCCCACCAGGCACCCTTTCTCAGCCCCTCTGCATTTGCACCACCCCTCACCAGCTACCTCATGCTCCAGCCCTAAGCTTTGTTGTATTTCCTTAGCCACTCACACCTTCTTGCATATCATTCTCCACCTGCCAAAGGTGGGGAAAACTGCTGCCTGGAACTTGCAACTTCCTGCCATCTTCAGGAAAAACCCAAACCACACATATAGACTGGGTGAAACCAGGCTTAATAGCAGTAACTGTGAGAGGGGTCTTGGAGTGGACAACCTTTTAAATATGAGATCAAATGAGAAAACTAACAATCAAGATCAAGTGAGATACGAATACCACTCTATAAAGACTTAGTAAGACTACAGTTAGAATACTGTATCCAGTTTTGGTCACCACACTATAAAAAAGATGTTGAAACTCTAGAAAAAGTGCAGAGAAGAGCAACCAGAATGATTTAGGGACTGGAGACTAAAACATATGAAAAATGGTTACAGAAACTGGGCATGGCTAGTCTACTGAAGAGAAGGACCAGGGGAGACATGATAGCAGTGTTCCAATACTTGAGGGGCTACCACAGAGAGGAAGGGGTCAAGCTATTTTCTAAAGCACCTGTAGGAAGAAATAATAGATGGAAATTGATCAAGGAGAGATTTAACCTTAACATAAGGAGAATAATCAATCAATGGAACATCTTGCCTTCAGAAGTTGTGGGAGCTTCATCACTGGAGGCTTTCAAGAAGAGATTGGACTGCCATTTGTCAGAAATGGTGTAGGGTCTCCTGCTTGGGCGGGGAGTTGGACTAGATGGCCTACAAGGTCTCTTCCAACTCTACTAATCTGTTAAAAAGGATGGTTGCTTAACGAACCATGGTCTTTGCTTAACAAGAGTAATAGGGACTACAGGGACTGCTGTGTTTAAGTGATGCCATTACGTGACATCATGCTTGAAAACTGAATTGCTTACAACAGAAATTTCAGTCCCAATTGCTGTTGTAACTCAAGGACTAGCTAAGTAGAGGGAGGCTAGTTTGAAAAAAGATGGATAAGGTTTTAAGATGGAAGAAGAAACATAGGTAATCTGAACTATAAGTAAAGTTTTCCCTGTCAGTCATGTCCAACTCTAGGATGTGGTACTCATTTCCGGGTTTTGGCTGAGGGAGCCAATGTAGTCCAAAAACAACTTCCATGGTCATGTGGCTAACATACACCCAATGTGCACGGAATGCTGTTACCTTCCCACCGAAGTGGTACCTGTTAATCTACTTGCATTTGCATGTCTTTGAACAGCTAGGCTAATAGTATTAATCTGATAATTACTCTGTTAGCTAAAAAGGTGGATGATCTTTAAGTTCTAGTAACGAAAGTCAAAGGAGGACAGTGAAATATTTATTAAATATAAAGAAGACCAAACTGATAACAACAAGCAGGTATAACAAGCAGTCTTAGAACTGACAATAAAGGTAATTAAGTAGCAGATAATTAAGTAGGTCTTTCTTACTATTAAGAGCAAAGGAAGCAGCACCCAAGAAATATGTCAAGGACTAACACTTTGTAGTGTACCAGTGAAGATCTTAGAAGACAAATTCAGATGCTGAGAATAGTAGAAGCAATATTTTCCCTGTGATAGACAGAAACTAAGCCTTTGAAGAAGCATGATAGAAAGAATATTGATGCTTAAACTTTGCTGATAGAGATAATTCCTGACAATACCATGAAAACAAATAAATAGATCATAAAACAAATCAATTCAGAATTCTTACTAGAAACACAAATGACTAAACCCAAATTATTATACTTTTAGACATGTTATATGTAGACCTAGCTCTCCAAAGAAAAAGGGAAAAGAGGAAGGAGAGTATAATACTATTTACACATGAATTATGAGAATGATGGTAATGAGAACAATATCAGTTTCTAGGATGAATTTGAATAGATTTTTTTTTCTTTATTTGTTTTGAAACATAAACTGTATTGGAGGTAATTTAAGGGGAAAGTACCATGCGGAATCTGACTGAAAAGTGATATATGTTATTATATAGTCATTAGGAGTTGAATGTTATAAATGTTTTAGGGGACAATTTAAAAGTTGAATATTTAAGGGGATTTGAAAGGGAGCTAATTATAAGATATGAGGGTGGTACATTCTAATTGGTAACTATAGGGGAAACCTTGTTTTGTAATGTTTGAAATGAGGAGGAATTTTTTGGAAATGATGAAATAAGAATATGTGATGAAATTGTAAACAGGAAAGATAAAAGTACAAATAAAATTATTATGAAGATATGAAAATTTTGAAAGGGAAATGAAATAGACCAAGAAATGAATGGGAAAGCTATAAAATAAGCCCGAGGAAAGTATTTGAGAAAAAATTCGTAGAGAATATACAAAGTAGTGGTAAGATATGAAATTAAATATGAAAGATGATTATGTATTTGAGATTATATCTGTATGGAAATGTCAAAACCTGGAACCATGCTGTTCGTTAAAAAAGATGTTTTATTTTTGTTTTGTGAAAACTCAAATAAAATTTTATTTAAAAAATACTAGTTACACAAAGAGTATATGATGATAATGCAGTGGCTACTACTTACACAAAGTGTATATGATGAGAATGCAGTGGCTGTATACTATAGAATGAAGGTCTGATTCTTGGGGTCTGGCTTTGTCAGCCTCAGCCTTCACACTATGAACTAGGTATTTCTATTCAGAATCAAATAACTGCAGTTTTCAATGATATCTGTCAAGCCTGAATTTGGTTAGAGGGTGGACTCATATGAATTTTCCTTGACACACGAGTACTAGAAGGGGGGAGAATTGAGGTGGATGGAGCTCCAGCCAAAACAATATAGATAGACAATGAGTTAGCCACATTCCAATGGCTGCTCAGCCAGAGGAAGGAGGAGTGAAGTTGCCAGGAAGCATTTTCACATCCTGGTTGGACAATGTGACATATTGTTTTGGAAAAATGAAAGAATTCTAGTTATAGTGACTTGGAAAGCCAGGAAACTTTCAGTACTGGCTTTCCACAAGTTAGTGCCAAGATGGTGTATTCCAATAAAATTGTTCTTTGAGAGTTAGAATGTCTCGGAGATCATTTTATGATGGGTGCATCTATTGGAACCTTATATTAAGCCAGTACTCCATAAAACCATTGCTCCATTTGGAGCTACATTCCGGGGTCCTGAGCTTCGGCAGCTCCCTGGATGCCCCAGGGAGTTGAAAGATTCAGGGAAGACGGAGAGATGGAGGAAGTGGACGGAGACGAGAGGGGATGCCTAAACAAATGGCAGGTCCCTGAAGGAGCCTGATGGCCAGTCAACACAGCAGCAGAGCGCACTCAACTGGGAAGTAGATAGCCGGTGCTAAGAGCTCTGGTGCTGAACAGAGGGAGCCTGTCAATTCCAGGTGATTCGGGATTGTTTGAACCTCTTTTCCCGACGACCTGTGATTGTGGCCTGGGGGACTTCCTGAAGGGACTTAGTGGGGCAAGTCGTGATCACCAGAGACCGCAGCCAGGCCCAAAGGGGTGCTGAAGAGGGACACGTCCTCCTGACTGATTGAATTTGCCAGGACCGACTCACCCCTCCCAATGGCTGATGGATGCACTATGGCTTGGAAGCTCACTTCCACAGTGCAGTTTCGGCTGTCATCTTCCTCTGCAACCGGAAGGTGTTCTTGCCTGGCCTGGTACTGGTGACTGAGCACCGGGATGGCAGGATGCTGAAGAGTTAAGGCCCAGGGAAGAGGAGCTCTTACTGCCCCACAAGGGAGGGGCTCCTTCTCTCTCATGCAGCCCCCCTCCTTGCCAATTGCTTGCCTCAGCACGGACCCAGGCCACCTTCCAAAGTAGTGCGATAGCTGATGGGTTCCTCTGTCATCCAATGAGACCCCCGCCAAACTAGAAGATCACTCCACTGGCCCAATTGAGCAGCTTCTGGGTGAGCAGAGGTCTGTAGAGG